TTGCACATGGTTCTAAAGAATGGGATAATGGGTTAATATATTAATAACCTATTTATTTTCTCTGCAGTAACAGCTAGTTATTACTAGTTATTATCATCTAAGGTCCCTGGAAGTCGAAAACGAACACCAGTAATGTGTTCTGCTGTCTCAGCATTGACCATCAAGCAGTCTCTGGTTCAGACGTCTCTTTGCTGTGCAGTGATGCCAATGCCGATACAGTGCACTCAGCTGGCAGATTTAAACCCTAATTTGAACCAACTCTGATTCAGAATTGAATCATGGTTATTTAGCTGGTTAGCTGGTTTCCACTATACACAGCTTTAGCTCAGAGTGACTAATGAGCCATACTGCAAGAATAGTGCTCATGCAGCAAGTGTATAAGGTCCCTGGAAGCAAGCGGATGAACCCCAGTAATGGGCCTGCTGCCTCAGCACTGACCATCTTAGGGAAGCAGTATCCAGTTCGGACTTCTCTGGTCTATCGCTACAATGATGCTATTGCCAGCATGGTGCACTTGGCCGGGAGATTTACACCCCAATTCAGAATTGAATCTGACCCACAGGCCAAATAAAACCCGCTAATCATAAGCATCCATGCCCAGTGACAACTGATAAGTAGAGCATAGCTTAAGAGTGAAAAAAGACAAAAGGCCCCATTTATTACAGCCTTTATTTGACATCATAAGGCAAGGAATTCAATAGTCGCAGTGACATAATAATACAGTTCAAATATCAATAGGCAATAATAGGAAAAAAACATGTTAATAAATGTTAATACAACATGCACAGTTAGAGTGTGCAGTTCAAATTATACGAGCCACAGTGTTAATATTGTGACAGGTTTAGTCAGCGTGATGGATGCACCTGAACTCTCTCAGTCAGTGCCTTGTCATTTGGAGCATAGGTTGAGACTGCCAGTCTAATGCAGTCGTTCAAGGCGTCAGATATTTGTGGGTACATGGACTTGATGATTTTCATTTGTGAAAAAGCATTTGTAAATCCTTGAGAATCTGGTCAGAAATGTCCTCGGATAACAGCTCCAATCTTCTCATTACCGCTGCTGGACAAAGCAGCACACTGTTAATTTCCATTTTAATGTCTTCTTTGATTATAAAGTCCCTGAATAAGACTGTGTAAGACAGTCATTGCTTCTTTTAAAAACTCCCCATCTGTGAAGGGACTTCTCATGCTTGGCCAAGAGATGGCTAACAATGAATGAATCATCGGTAACAGCTTTAGCTCTCTTGGTGGGTTTTGTGAAAAGTGATTCTCTTGAAATCTTTGCTCTCATATTTCGCTCTTGAGTGGGAATGAACCCTTGAATTTCAGATGGTAAGTGGCGTGACGGCGCTCCTAATTACCCCTAGTGACATGTCAGGTCTTTTATTTCACTACTGTAAAAGCAAATTCATTTTCCCATTAGGCATGGAAAAGATATAATGTCGCCTTCTTTCGTTGCTCAGCCATGGTTTCCATGGAGTTTGTTCATTGACAGTACACATATGGAGTGAACATTAGCTAGCTATGTAGCATAACAGCAGGTTGACGTGACGCAGCCGGAACCGCAACTGTAACTGGCCAGAATTAATGTTTTTTCTTGGGCTATTCCCCGCCCACTCAGTTGCACAGCACCATTTAAATATGTAGCAGTATTCAAATCTAGCTAACCAGTGGACATTTTACCACTGCATTTTTTACAATTATTTTATTTTATGTTAAATGTGTTGAGATCATTGACAGAACATGGATGGTTGCGATCTACTAAAAATGCGTCGGCAATTGACCGGTAGATCGTGATCGATAGGTTGATGACCGCTGCTCTAGAGGGTGTGTTTGACCACTCATTATGAGTTCGGTATACTACAGTACATAGAACTCCATTTAGGGGGCCAAGCACTTAGTGCTTGGAACTCTTTTGTTTGTTAGGATTTTTCTTATTATTATTTTTCTCTGCCAAAACTTATCGTGCAGACCATACCGTAAGTACTACATGAAATGTGGTAGTACTCCCTCCTACTACTCAGGCAAGAGTGAAGAGCCCGATTGGCCTAATGGTGGTGCTATAGCAAACTGTTTTGTGAAGTGCTTTGGCTCATATCTCAGAAACTATAAATCCTACAGTGAAAATTTGTATTGCCACTTATTGCTTCAGTTGTCCCAAAAAAAAGCCTCAAGAACCATTCAGCTTAACCCACTTAGATTTTTAGCTAAATTGCATAATATGCAAAACCTAATTTTGAGAACTTGTCCTAGGATTTTTGTCTTATCTTCACAATGTGGGTGACAGACCAATAATAATCCAAAACATGTTTTGATAACGTTTTTGCAAAACACATTTGTAAAGAATATGGCAGCCACATGCCAATCAATTGAGTCTAATTTACTCAAACAGCTGTAATTCATGACTGGTTGTACTGATTCACACAGAACATGAAAGGTGTATACAGGCCTATACAGGCCTGGGGTAGGTTGCAAAGTTTGGGGTGTGGTTATGCATAGGGGGAGGGGCTAACTTCAGATAACTGTTTCTCAGGAACCGTAAATCTGATCAAGCTGAAATTTGGTATACCACTTCTCTACATGGCTGCGCACAGCATTAGAAGTAAACAAAGTAGCACCTTTTAACTTTAAATGAGTTATGCTGTATATACCACTATTTATTTTGGATCAATCAAAATACAGACATATTACACATATCACTTGTTAAATCTATAAAATTGACTGTACAGTTTGTTGTTTGAGGAGGAAAACATACATTCACCATCCACTTTAATAGGAATACCTGTTATCCAATTATCCAATCAGCCAATCATGTGGCAGCAGCACAATGTATAAAATCATGCAGATACAAACCACGGTTGTAAAGAGTGATTATTTGAGTTACTACATCTTTCCTGGCTGCTCAAACCAATCTGGCAATTTTTCTCAGACCTCTCTCATCAACAAGGCATTTCCACCCACAGAACTGTTGGTCACTCAATGTTCTTTTGTTTTTTGTACCATTCTGAGTAAACTCTAGAGACTGTTCTATGTGAAAATTCCAGGAAATCAGCAGTTTCTGAAATACTCAAAGCCCATCTGGCACCAACAACCATATAATGGTTAAAGTCTCTGTATGATGTATCTGCAGGATTTTATGCGTCGTGCAGCTGTACAGTAAAACTTCTTTTTTCTGTGCTTTGGTTGCTTATACCATAAAGATTTGGACCATTTGGCACCACTCATTCAAATTTATGATATTTGCTTAATATGCAAAACCTACTTTTGAGAACATGTCCTACATGTCCTTTGAACATGTCCTTTGAAATGTCTTCCCAATTTTAGTGTCATATTACTCAGTAATGTCTGAAACTCAATAATTATCAAAAATATGTTAAGAATGGAAGTATGGCCACCACATGCCAATCAATCATTGCATGGAGGAGCTTAATTTACTCAAACACCAATAAGACAGGATTATCATTGCACTATCACCACCAAAATTGGTAGTTAGGTCTCATATCCCACCCGCTACTAAGCCATATGACGCATACCCATCTAAAGGAGATGCAATAATAAATGAATTTACCTGTATGGGATAGAGTAAAAAGTCTTATATCAGCAGAATTCCATAGTTCTCTTGCGTCTTTTTGGTTTATTTACTTTTGGCTGACATACTTTCCATCATCTTGAATTTTCTGAAAAATTTACTTTTTGAACTCATCCTAGGCTGTTCATTTCATGAAATATGGAATGTAGCAAGTAGAGAGTTTGATGACAAAAATAATTTACCAAAACAATTTTGATCAGCCAAACCATTTAGCTACTACAGGTCAATTAAATTTTCGGCCATTGCATGTATGTGCTAAAAGAGCCGTATCTTCTGAATGCAAAGACCGATTTCTGAAAACTTTACAATACACTAGAATGCTCTGTGGCCACACCCCAAATGTCATAACAGTTGCCCAGTAGGTGGTGCCTTAACAAAAAAAAATCCATATATCTCCTCAACCATTTTACATATGCTATGATTTTTGCTACGATTTTTCTTGGGCAAAATTGAACATTTATATCCAGGTATTTTTGTAATTTATACATTTGTGGCTGAAATATAGCCAACCAAATACTTGAGAAAACTGAAATTGGAGGACTTTTGGACCCTGGGGACCCTGGTGAACAAGCACAGCTCCCATCCATGTCCCCTTTCCTAATTGTGCCTGATTCAGTTTTCTCAAAAGAATTACATATCAGAGGTAATGTAGATAATGTTCATTTCTTCAATACACATATCTTTTTATATACTTATATATATGTTTTCTTTCTGTACTTAGAACGTTCGGACTTGTCTACCTGCATTTTGCCTGGTTTTGGTGAATGTTAGTGATTTTCACTCAAACCATTCGAGTTGTTTGTTGTATTGATATCTCTCTTTGTTGCTCTTGGCTATATTTACATGCAAATTTTTCACCAACTGGGTGAATTCTTCCGACTGCTGATTCCAAATGAACTATGTGGATCCTAAACTGGGCACTTATAAAATCTACATTTATTACTGTACGTTATTCTTCAGCTGATCAAAAAATTATGTGCATATGTAGAGCGAGGTGACAGGAGAGCATGAGTGTGGTGAACGCATTCACTTTGTAATCGCTGCCTGACCTTTTAACGAGTTTCCATCAACCAAGTATGATCATTAAACAGACAGTGAGAAGAAGAGTTTGTGGCCTCAGTAATCAACATTGAATTCAATAATTCATATTTGCCCACCATTCAGGTGTAAGGATGCTCTGGTTGATGAAAATAACATAAAATGCACACACTATCCATTCGTAAAACAGATATAATGCCTTTACTCATCTTCTAGTATTACCACTATTAAAGGCCACTGTTTGGGAATAGCTGCACAAGAAATAAAGGCTTTATCAAAATTTCCAATTGTACAAATTTTTGATTGTAAAGTATTCAGATGCAGAAGTTGCTATTTTGCTATTATGTTTGTTATTTTCAACAACCAGTGCGGGATCCTTGAAGGACTAGTGGTTAGGCCTCAGCACTCTCACCGGCGCAGCCTGCGTTTGATTCCCGGCCAGGGAACCAGCCCCAGCCACTGGTGTTGCACAAGACAGTGCACTGCCAGTCCCAAGCCCAGATAAAACTGGGGAGGGTTGCGTCAGGAAGGGCATCTGGCATAAAAACAGTGCCAAATCAAATACACGGACCAATGATCCACTGTGGCGACCCCTAACGGGAGCAGCCAAAAGAAGAAGAACAACAATTTTCAACAACCAGAGCATCCTTATACTTGAATGTCAGCCAAATATGAATTAATAAATTAAATGCTTATTAACTTCTCTTCACACTTGAATGACTATAATGAGATGGGAAATAATTTAAAAATCATTAAAAACACAAGCAGTGCAATTAAAAAGCTGAACACTTTGACCAAACTAACATACTCCATGTTATTACAGTAAAATGGTCATTAAATCTTGCTTCATGCATGAGCTTAATTTAGGATTTAGGATAAAAGACTTTTACCTATCTGGTGTAATTCAGTTCAATTCAAAGCAAATGTTCTTTCATCGTCATTCAGAACCAGCAACGGCCTGGTGGGAACATGGCGAGAAGGCTCCGAGGAATTGTTGATCATGTGGCTATGATATTTATCAAATACTCCATCATATGACATATGCTCAAGAAGGTTTCCAGGTTATTATCACCTCACCTGGTGGTTGTCTGGTGTTCATGAAACTACAGTTGCATACATAACTAGCTATAAGTTGTGTCTGTTTGCTGCCCATCCTCAGGAGCAAGGTAGGAAAAAACCTGCACCAATCTTTCTCTTTAAGCCCGTCTTTTCCATGAATTGAGGGCATGGAACCCAATCGCTTTGTCCCCGTGTGTATCTCTTCCATCTGGGGTAAACAAGCAAGTGCTATTTGATTGACCTATAGCCAGAATACATCAGATTAGCCTATTTAAATGCAGCATTGAATTATTGAAAGTTATAGTCAAATCATTTGCTACATTATGGTAATGAAGAGGTGGGAAACTTTTCATACTTTCAGTAACTCTACTCCCAGGGCAAATCAAAGTGACTCAACACAACACAAATTGATTTTGTTGTCCAGGCAGTTGTAAATAAAAAAATAAAAAAAATAAAAAAAACCTAAACCCCTTTGTTAAAATATGACCTATAGATTGGTTAATTTGGATTTATTAAGTTTCTTTTTATTTCACAAACCAGCATTTTCTGCATGTTTTAGAGCTTTTCCTGCTCTAACACAATTGCTGTACATCAAAGGCTTCACAATATAGTTGATCAATTGAGTCAATGCAAGTATTAAAAACAATTTCTTTTTTCAGGAATGCATTATTTAATTTCTAGTCAGCGACAATGGAGACCATCAAAAGTACCTTATAATAGGTTTTGCTTTTTGACCTTTTCTTTTCAGTAGTTAAAATAAGGTCAAATTTCTTTCAAACGAATATTAGTTATATGCTGTTTTAGACCTAAATTTTAATTAATTATTTATTTAATTAAACCAGTTTAGACACACTGCATGTATTTTTCAGCAAGTTTTTTTTTTTTTTTTTTTTTTTTTTTTTTTTTTTTTTTTTTTTTTTTTTTT